GAAAAATACAAATTATTAATTGTGAATAAGTTTTGAAAGATGCCAAATGAATCCAGGATTAGGTTGGAGATATATATATATATATCTCGAGTCTGTGGAGATATATAAATTGAAATATCGAGTCTGCTGGAGCACAGAAAGAAACATGCTTGAGCAGACTCTGGCATCACATGTATTAGCATCTCTGCACTGAAAAATGGTAGTGGGGTGCTTTGAACTAAAGCTCATTCAGTGAATTTTAGTTCAAAGCACCCACCACCATTTTTCAGCCCCAGGGACACTGATACACGTGACGCTCAGACGCTTTTAATTAAAAGTGCCCCCCCACATCTCCCAGAGAATGTGTAAAAATGCCCAAAGAGCTCAGCTCATAGTCACTATCAGCCTAGCCATAGCACCGAGAAGGAAGGCTTCTGTGCCATCCAAGAGATGCCACTACCCTAGGCACACATAGCCAGGGCTGCTCCTCCCACCTAGTTAATTCCACACATTATGTGGGGTATAGGTATAATGACCCCCTATCCCCAGAAGTGCCTCCTGGTATTACTAATAACAACAGATTTAGCATGCTAGGTCAGTGCACTCTCTTGTGTGGACTCCATGTCATATGTGTTGGCACTGGGTTTATGACCTAGATACCTTACGCCAGGTAGACCCAAACCCTCAGAATGACCACAAATTCTTCCATTTGATAACAGGCAAATGTTATTGATACACAATGGGCACATCTACACGAGACGCTTACTGCGCATTAGGCTAATAACACTGCACAGTAGCATGTCATAGATAGCAAAAACTGTGCTAATAGCATACTGCACACTTATTAGGCTAATGCTTAGTAAGCATCACTAAATAACTGTGCACCAGCACTACTGGGCAGTAACTTTAGGCACTGCACATTTAATTAGTGCTTTATTAAGGACATACTAAACTGAATGCACAGTGTCTAAGGTGCATTTATGAATATGTAGATGTGCCCAGTGATAGCAGATAAGAGTAATACAGGCAAAACAAACAAAATAACCCCCAGGTTCTACTTATCTAACAGTTCCAGGGTTCACAGAGGGAAGGTACACGTGGCTAGTATGCGAGCTTCACTCTGTGGTTCTTTCTTGAATGTCATCAGTCTTGGAGGTCAAAAGCTAAGGCCCACCCTTCCCAGTGGGGTGGGGTGAGATGGGTTGGTGGTACACCCTCTGTCTATGGTGGCCTCAGGATCCCCTCCTCCAGGACCTTTTGCTGCTCTGAAATCTCTCTGAAATCCCTCCTTTTGTAATCTTTCTCTCCTGATGACTCTTCATTTCTGGGTACCGTTGATTGGTTTCCCTGTAGTCATCATGCTGTCCACATTCTGTCCTGTCAGCATAATTCCTTGTTTCCCAAACCCACCACATGCACACATCTTCATTTAGTCATTTACTGATGTCTTTAATTTGGGTATGCCTGGCCTCCTAATTCGGTCCATTTACCAAAACCAGAAATCCCAGGTGGTTTGCAGGTGGTCACTGTGACCAAATCCCAATGGTGAAGCATCCCTTTTCTTTGTTATGGGTTTTCAGGGAACACTTTAATACATGATTTTCCCAGGATGTGTATGCCCACTTGTACGTTGGTCTCAGACACGGTGTCTGCCTTAAAGGCTGTGAAACTTTGTCAGAAACAGGCTTTTAGAAACCAATTAACCGTTGCTGTTCCCCTAGACCATTGCTCTAATGCATATCTACTCTACCTACAAGCCTATTCCTAAAACAAAACCTCTAACCTCTAAATGTCATTTTCTAGCAATCAACAGGTGTTACATTTTGCTGAGGGCCTCCTACCTTGTTACCAGTTTCCCATCTATGCCCAGTGCTGGCTGCTCTCTCTTATGTTACCATTCCTTGGCAAGGGTGGCATTGTTGTTTACCAATGATTGGTTGAGTCACTTCCTAGCCTCCTCACTCTTTGCTCCCTCCTACCATACTGTCTCTTACCAACATTTCACCCCTAACTTTGCATTGTTTCTTTTTTTCATTCTCCGTATGTTTGTTTCTATGATCTTTTCAACCTTCTTCCTTCATGCATCTACCCTTCTCCAAGCTTACTTGCCCTTATTTCCCTTAGTGTTTTATGCTGTCGCTTGGAACTTTCAGTCTTCTATCTCTCTAGTATTACTGGCTGTGGTGGCCTACAATAATTTATATCTCCTCCTGTCTTACTCATTCTCCTTTCATTTTATCACATCTTTTCCTATCCATTCCAGATGAGGTTTTATGTTATCTTTCCATCTTTGCCTTGCTATTCCTTGAGGTCTGATACCCTCCACCTCATTTTCCAGAATTTGCCAAAGTTATTCCCACTTTGATGTAGTGGAGTGGCTTGCATATCTTTGTAATCCTGAGATCTATGTCAGTGGTAGTGTGGCCTAACCACCAGCAGGACCTCAGATGCTGAACAGGTTGAAGGATAGAGATCAGACTAAGAGGAATACCTTGTTCCTTCAGATTGGGTGTTGGGCATGAAGCCAAAAACCTCATTTCAGGGTAAAAAAGCTAATGTTATGAAACCAAACCTAAAGCAGTGGATCTTGCAGTCATGCAGACCAAAATTCACTTTAGTTGAATTATACATAGAGAAGGGTGGCAGTGTCACATGAAGGTGCCTGTTTGCCAGGTTTCCAACTATGATTCTTGTTAATTAAACAAACCCTCTTCCTTGCTGTAAATTATGCTAGAGGTATTATGCCACATTTCATGTATTGGTAGTACCAGGAGAAGTCTTTGTATTTCTCAGTGTAAAATGGCTCTTTATTGAGAAGACTATTTTCAGAAGTGCTACATTCATGTTAATATGTAGGGCCAGATTCTATTCTACCAATTATTAGGGGTGTAAGTGGACTTAGGTGCCCTATAATTGTATTGCACCCTGCTTGCGTCCCTGGAAAGCAGCTTTTGCAGAAGGAGTTAGGTTTCCTTTCTCCTTGTTGCTTTTTTGTGACTCAGTCTTAAGGGTCAAATGGCAATGTGTTATAAAAATAGATATGTAAGTGGATTTTCAGGGATTTGAACAGGGTAGAATAGCATCACACAGAAGCTCCAAAGTCCATTTAGATGCCTAATAGGTGGAATGGGATCTGGCCCAGACTACAAGCAAGTAGAGACAGTGATCCACATAGATCCAATTGCAGGATGAGCTCAGTAGCATATTAATAACAAAGCTTGGTGAGGGGAAAAGAGCATTCTCCAAATACATGCATAACACTTGGGCCCTGATCCCATTAGCTATTCTGCATGAACAAACCCCTTTGTCTGTGTGCTACCCTACTAATCACCACTCAGTGAGGGGCTGCCCATGTGTATCAGCTTGCAGGCCCACAGCCTGAGTAGCCACATAAGCCTAGAGCAGTGGTTGTAAACTGGGGTGAGATGCAAGAACCTACCAGGGATGCCATACCACTGCCACAGGATGAAATTGCCCCTCACACCTTGGTTTTCAGGAGGCCCAACTGAGGAGGAGCTAAAACACAGGCAGAGTATCTGAAAGAATGACATTATACAGGTGGGTGCACTGCTTCTCCTCTAGCTGCTTCTCACATCTTAACATGAGCTGAATCCAGGAGACCTAACGCAGAAGCAAGGAGTGCACCTGCCTGGAGAATGCAATTCAGTCAGACACACTGCCTCTGTTGCAGCTGCTCTTCAGTTGGGCCTCTTGAAAACTAAGACACACAGGGCAATTTCACCCTGCAGTGGCAGTAGCCTGGAGATGGATGCTGCTGTCAGCAGGTAGAACTGCCCCATGTGCTTTTACGCTAAGAAGACATGTTGGAACCAAACTGGGAAGAGCTGCAGCAGAAAGAATACAGTGGCTTCCTTATTACAATGCAGGCATTCTTGCTGTGGTCATTTCTCAGTTGAGTTACACTATGCATCTTGAAAACAGCAGCAGACAGGGTAATTCCACCTGCCTTGCTTGTCTCTCTTTCTGGGAGACACTGTGAAGGGTTGGATCAGAAAGGCCTGAAGCAAGAGCACATGTTTCTGTCACAGCCACTTCCCAATCTGGCTTTGCAGGAGGTATGCAATGCAAATCCACCTGGCTATGCCAGTGGTGGGAGTGTAGCGAGTATAATAACTCTGAGGATCTAATCAATTAATAACTAATTAATTATTGACAATACCATTATGTTAATTTTAATATATATTTTATTTTAATAATATATTTTAAATTTAAAAATATATTTATATTATTTTTTTAAATGGGGTTCTGTAACGCTTTGCAGAGTTGTAGGGAAGGGGTGGGGCCACGAGCCTAAAAAGGTTGAGAACCACTGGCTTAGAATGATAATGCCACTTAGAGGGTCAGGGATAGAAAACTGAGTGAACTTAAGTGATGAAAGCTTGTGAAAAAGCAGCCAAGTTCTAATTTTCCCCTCCTTTGCTGCTGGAGAGGGGAACAGCTAGTAACAGGGGAATGTAAGAAGGCCAGAGCCCATGTGTAAAGACAGGAGCTGCCCAGAAAGCACAGTAAAATCTTGGAATGCCTGGAAAATCCATGAAAGTTGCATGTTCTGAGGAAGATCACATTGACTTTTCTGTTCCCTCCATTTGCAAGTCTATAACTTGGCACCTGATCTCTCATCAACTGTTGAAATCTGAAAAATATATGCAATTACTAATTGTTATCCCCTCCAATTCTTTCATCTTTCCCCTTGTCCCTTTTAATAATAAAAGCAAAGTTAACAATATTATTGGATGAGATTTTTCATCTAAGGGTTGAGGTGCTCAAGTCCAATGGAAATTCAGCGAGGCTGATGCCCCTCCAGCCCTCAGGCATGTCTGAAAATCTCCTTAAATCAAAAGGAAAAGACAATGTGATTATTTGGATGAACAAAAGCCAAAACAGTATAGCTCTGATTGATTAACTCGTTGTATGGCTGTTTTGGGTTCTTGCACTTCATGTAACTGAATTTAATTAAAAGCTTCCTGATGTATGACTGACCAGACTGTATTTTGTTCTAGGCGGTGTGGATATAGCAAAGCTAAACAAGATCCAGAAGAGGAAAAGATGCACTTCCATAATGGCCACAGTGAGTGAAAATTGAAGTAGTAAGGATACACACACACGCATGCACACATATATACACATATAATAATTTGTGGCTTTGCACAGTGCTTAACTTTATGCATGTAACTAGTTTCATTTTGTCAATGGGATTATTTCTATGTGCATAGTGAAGTATGTAGATCAGTTGAGCTCTGATTTGATTCTGTTTCAGTAATATTTCAATAATTGTATTTCCTTCCTCTGTATAGAGACTTCTGACACCCATCATTTTCTAATCTTGTTTAGTTGGTTACAGGGTGTGTCTACACTTGCCCCTGACTATGCAGTTGTTACTGGGCAGTCATGTAGTATTTGCTTTAGTGACTGCCCAGTAACCACTGGTACAGTGGTGGTGCCGCATGCTTCGTTTCCGGCCCTACTGTGCAGTAGCTTGTCCAGCTTGTGGATGCATCTGCATGTGCAATTACAGCACTGTAATAAACTACGGAGCTTATTGATCTGGAGTTTACTGCTCCCAGGCATGCCATTTGAACATGCACCTGGGAGCAATTAACTCTGGAGGAAGAAACTCCACAGTTTATTCAGGCACAGCACATGGAGCCCAGGCAGAGCAGCCCTGGCTGGGACGGGGTCCCGTGGGTTAACCTGCCAGCCTGGGGCTGCTACCCCCAACTCAGTGTGCTGCAGAGGGGCTGGCTGGGCATGATGGTGCTTCCGTGTTGGGCTAGCCAGCAGGAAGTCACCACACTGAAGCACCTTCATGTTCCAGCCAGATAGGTAGCATTTACATGCGTGCTGCTGCAGTGTTTTACTTGTAAATACAAGTACTATTCTGCTATGGAGTAAATAATTTTACTCCAGCCTAATACAGATGCACATGTAGACGCTGAGATGTTTATTACATCAACTGCACAGTAAATGTCTTGTGTAGACATGCCCAGTAGCATTTCATTTCTAGGGCCTACGAGAGTGAACACAGAGCTGGTGTCAGAAGACTCTGATTTTAATATTTGTTCTACCACTAACTCGTCATGTGGACTTAGGTATCAACTTGGCCTCAGTTTCCCTCCCCTGTACTACCAGGAGAATAATATTTGCTTTCCTTCCTCAAAGAAATTTTGCAAAAATGAATTTGTCAATGATATTAATCTGATTTGTGCATTTAAAGTACCATGGAAATACTAAAAAATATTACTTTTCTATAAAACTAGTGCTAGAATTTCTAAAGAGATCCTTTAGAAGGTGATTTTTGGATCTACGGATGTAAAGTGCAGTTACACAGAAGTTAGATAATACTGTATTTACCCCAATTGGATATGACTTAGAATTTCAGATAAGCATCCAATAATTAGATTTTATACATGAAAAATGTATAAATTTGTTATTATTTTTCATGTGCAGAGTCAAATTAATGGAGGGTCATCTTAAATTTGTCTCCTCTATTGCTGCAGCAGGGCAAGCAGTGGCACAGGGGCAAGCAGTGGGGTGGCAGGTAGCAGGGGAATCAAATGTCCTCAGCCTCATCATTTGCCACCTGCTGCCTGTCCCACCACCACTTGCCCTCCCACCCCTGGGTGCCTGTGTCCCCTGGTACTTGCCCCACTTCCTGCCTGCCCCTCCCCCTGACACAATGCTGGCCCTCCCTTACTCCCTTAGTCTCTGTCACAGATCCAGCTCTGGTTCTGCTGCAGCCTGGGGCACAGAGCACATAATTGCTCCAGCTCCCACCCAGTCAGGCAGTTGTGGGTGTGGTGGCAGCAGATTCCAGCCCCAGACCTGCTCCAGTTGAACCTGGACCCAGGTGTGGATCTGCCACCACAGCCCTTGTTGCTGCATGGCCAGGCAGCGGCTGGAGTGACCATGTGCTCCATGCCCCAGACTGGAGCTGGAGCCAT